TCAGACACACATGCTGTCACTCACAGACACACATGCTGTCACTCACAGACACACATGTTGTCACTCACAGACACACACAGTCACTCACAGACACACGCTCAGTCACTTAGACACACACACTCATACAATCACTCACACACACACACACTGTCACTCACAGACACACGCTCAGTCACTCAGACACACACATGCACACACACTCATACAATCACACACACACACTGTCACTCACAGACACACACGCTGTCACTCACAGACACACACGCTGTCACTCACAGACATACGCTGTCACTCACAAGCACTGTCACTCACAGACACACACGCTGTCACTCACAGACACACACAGAGACGCACACAGTCATTCATGGACACACACACTGTCACTCACAGACACACACACACACTGTCACTCACAGACACACACACACAGACACACACACTGTCACTCACAGACACACACACACAGACACACACACTGTCACTCACAGACACACACACTGTCACTCACAGACACACACACACAGACACACATCACATACATTCACTAATAATTTTATAAATAAACATTTTCCACACAGCCTCCCTACCTGGAGAGCTGGTGTGGATGCTGGATCGGTCCCTGGGGTTGCTGGGCGGCGTGCGGCAGTGCTGTGATCAAGCGCGCGAGGGAGCTCTAATCTCCACCCTCTGCTCCCTCGCGGGCTGCCTACTGATGACGTCATGTTCCGGCTCCCACGGCATCAATAGGCAGCGCGCGAGGGAGCAGAGGGTGGAGATTAGAGCTCCCTCGCGCGCCTGATCACAGCACTGCCGCGCGCTGCGCCGGGGGTCAAGATGGTGGCCGGGCAGGAGGGAGAGCTTCCCTCCTGCTGGTCACTGAAATATTGCGCCCCCAGAGCCCGTGCGCCCTAAGGCGGCCGCCTGTGCCGCCTTATGGACGCGCCGGCCCTGCACATGACTTGAATTGGCCTGATTGACAGATTGGCTGCAGAGATACTTTCCTAACAAAACAAGTAATAAAGGGGTATTTAGGCGCTAATCAATGTACAACCCAGTGCAGTCAAATTCACCCAAGTGTAATGTCACCCTTTTACACTTACAACAAGCAAAATGGATGAACGAAAAAGGTGGCAGTGCACACAGTAGTTGTAATTACCAACTGATATACAGGAATATTAGCACAACCTATGCAGCCATCTACTTTTGCAAGTTTAAATACTGGAGAGCTGGTAGTGCACCTGGCCTAGGAATACTGTAGCCTGTGTGCAAGGTATTGTAGCCTATATATATATATATATATATATATATATATATATTAAACCTTGCCTGGTTTAACCTTGCCTGGTTTAACACTAATAAAAAGAAAACGGCATGTGATTTAAAGAGGCGCTATATATATGTATATATGTGTATATATATAGAGAGAGAGAGAGCGCAACCTTAAATTACATGTCGTTTTATTTTTCTTAGTGTAAGTTAAACCAGGCAAGGTTTATTTCTTGAATAACTTTGCTCAATGAAGAGGCCACTTACCCTGCAAGTCATTAACTCGGTTGGGGTTATTCAATAAAGTGAGAATTCACAGTGAATTCAAAGTGAATTTCAAAATGTAGATCAAAGTAGCTGAATTTGAAGCACAGCTGCGTTAGAGAATGTCTTGAATTTGACTATTTTGGCCTTACATTTCAAATTAACTTTAAATTCACTTTATATTTTCAGTTTAGTGAATAGCCTTGTATATAATCTATGACCCTAGAGGAAAACAAATAGTTCTCTTAGGGATAATGAAATACACTAGAACATTACTGTGCATTGATGATCAATGCAAATTACAAAATTGGACAGTGGGGTTTCTAGTAAATCAAAGAGCTTACCATCCATGCAAAATGCAAATTCTGATACAGTATGGAATAAAAATCAAAATCATGAACTTACCATGTGTTCACTTAAAATAGGACACAAACGCAGCAAAACAGCTATTACAACGAGTGACAATGTAAAAGTCAAAATATAAAAAATGTATTTTATCTTTGGACAGATATATTGATATGCAATAAGAATAACTACAATTAACAAGGTTGGTGGTGCTAGATGTAAAATCTGTGAGATAAACATTACATGTTACTTAAAGTGCATCCACCAGCTTTTCACACTATATTGCTATAACATCATACCTCCCAACCTCCCTACCATGGGCGTCTGCAGGAATTTTTCCAGTGGGGGGCATAATTGTAATGACATCCATGCTTAGTCCCTTTTTGACAGTGTCATGAAAGGGAAGGGGTATAGTCATTATCACATAAAGTCAGGTTTGTATTCCAGACACTATAGTGTTCCTTTAAGCAAATTAAAGGAACATTCTGGCCACCATAACAACTTCATCTAAATGAAAATGCTGTGATGCCAAGGGACCCTGTGCACTCTCTTTCCTTTAAGGGGTCTAACTGCTCTCAAAGTGGTATTCGCCTTCTGAAACGGAGTGTCAGGAAGTGCAGATTGACGTCAAGCATGGGTGCCCCAGATTGGCTAGATTGGTCAGCTGACGCTCTAAGCCAATCGCTGGTTCCTGGTTCATAAAAATGAATGACTGCTCTAGCCAATCAGTGGCACCCCTACCCAGAGGCACTCAGTAAATAAAAGTGAACACATTAACACTGATTTTTTTTTGTTTACCTGGGGAGATAAGAAGGTCCAAAGTTTTCCTGCCAGGCCCAGGTACCAAAGCCTTATGGTGTGGTGTCCAGAATAAAGTGGAGGTTTTACTTCACTTGTCCTTCCTGCTCCAATCTCCTTTTCTTCTTCTTCATTTGACACAGTCTTCTTTTTCTTCTGACACTGTCTTCTCTTCTCCTTGGCTCCTTCTGCTCCTTTACCTTTGAGCTTCTTTTGCACCTTTCAGCTATTTTCTCTTTCTGATCCCTTTCTGCTCATTGCAGATGCTTTATGCTCCTTCTCCTACTTTACCTTTGTTGTCCTTGCTGTCACTTCCTGCTCACTTCTGGTCCTTCTCCTTTCTTCTCCTTCTCCTGCTTTACCATTGTGCTCTTTCTGCCACTTCCAGCTCCTTGCTGACCCTTTATGCTTCTTCTCCTTTGTGCTCCTTCTGATTCGTTCTGCTCCTTGTAGACCCTTTCTGCTTCTTGCTGCCCCTTCCTGCTCATTTATGTTCCTTCACCTTTCTGCTCCTTCTCCTACTTTACCTTTGTGCTCCTTATGTCGCTTCCTGCCATTTCCAGCTCCTTGCTGACCCTTCTTGCTGCCCCTTCCTGCTCATTTCTATTTCTTTCTGCTCCTTCTCATATTTTACCTTTGTGCTCCTTTTGTCACTTCCTGCTACTTGCTGCCATTTCCATCTCCTTGCTGACCCTTCCTTCTCCTTACTGCTCCTTCTCCTACTTTTTCTTTGTGCTCCTTGCTGGCCCTTTCAGCTCATTTCTGTTCCTTCTCGTTTTTGCTCCTTCTTTTACTTTACCTTCCTGCTCCTTGCTGACCCTTCCTGTAGGCTGTCTCCCCCATCCCTCACTTACCTGGCCTGTAGACTGCCACCCCATCTCTCACTTACCTGATTTATAGGCCTTGCCCCCTCCCCACCCCCATGGATGCCCATGTTCCCTACTCTGCGTCCTGCAAATTCCGACACCAGTGGGAAGGAGGTAAACATGGTGGGCCTGTGATGCAATAGTTTCCGTGCTCCGTTCAGGGTCCCAGTACCCTAATCATCTCTTGATGCAGGACACAAATCGTGACTGTTCCGACAAATTCTGGACAGTTGGGAGGCATGTAACAGACAACACCCATCCGCCACAAAGTATATTACAGGGGCATAGGTGTATACCCCCCAGGTACATGCCTCCCAACCATCCCAATTTTGATGGAACAATTCCTGCCCCACCTTAATTCCCTGGTGTCCCACTTTTGGGGACAAAAGGGAACTGTACCCAACAATCATAGAATAAGTGCATCATTACCTGAGCTTGTGCCATGTTTAGGGCACTAAGACCCTTCAAGGACCACTGAAACTACGCTCCCTGCAGGGTCTGCATTCAATGCAATCAGTCAGGTATGTATTCACCCCCTTTTGGTGGTCCGCTCTCTTAACTCCCCTCTCACAGGCTTCTGGGACAGCTGATGTTGGGAGGTATGGAAGTGTGTGTATCTGTATGTGTGTCAATGTTTGTAAATGTGTATTAGTGTGTGTACCTGAGTGTCTGTGTATCTGCATGTGTGTCAGTGTTTGTATCTATGCGTCTATGTATCTGCATGTCTATCTGTGTGTCTGTGTATACATATGTAACTGTATGTGTGTCAATGTGTTTATCTGTGTGACGAACTGGACCTTGTCACTGGTTCTTGGAGGGGAATACTTGCCAGCCTCTTACCCTGTGACAATGGGCCCTGTGACAAAACTTGGTTTAACCCCTTAAGGACAGAACTTCTGGAATAAAAGGGAATCATGACGCAATATTTCCGTCATGTGTCCTTAAGGGGTTAAATCACTGTTTGTGCCTTTTTGGACTTATGAAGCAGCACTTCGAATTCCCAAACAACCGCACGAACAGAGACCACACTGGAGCTTATTAACACCTATTAACAACTTGGAACGTTTCTCACCGCAGTGTTCTAATTGTTGGTCTGGGTGGCCGCGATTTCTATAGACAACCACGAGGTGGCGGCCATCTTGTTCACATGAACACAGGCAGCGGTGTTTGGGCATGAATCTCATGGAACTGAAATCGGATACAAAAACTCCTGAACACCGCTGGACTTCCATCACCTCCTGCGTTTGCTTCTATTCACCTTAGAAGGGCACTGTTCGGTGAGATTATTCGTCTGGATGAAGGGAACAAGCTCCAGGGTAAGACTATTGACTCTGTTCGGTAGTTTGTTCATTTGCAAACTACTGAACTAGAGCAGCTGCAAGCCCTGATTCTCTGGAACTGTTTTGGGCATGGGACCATGGCCGCGGTCGGTCAAATAAATGACTTCCATAGAATTTCTGAACCCCTGAACTGATCTGTGTTATTTTGGGATATGTTGGTCACCCAGATCAGGGCTATCAGGGGATTTCACCTATGGGGATTTTGTGTTTAAATGTTTTTTGGGGGTTTTGTAAAAATGTGTGTTTTTTGTGTTTGAATATAATTGAGTTTAGTATAGTACTTGACTCAATTATCTCCTAAGTAAAAGGGAAGGCTTATTGTATTATGTGTGGGAGTGCCTTAGATTGTAACTCTATTGTGATTGGTGTATACATTTGTGTCCCTGTCCATGTGGGTGTCACCTTTGCTTGGGGACTTGCATAAAAGGCCAGTGTGGCTACCATTAAACGATTCCTGCTTAACCCTCAACACGCAGCCTGGTCTCGTGATTGTAGGGAACCTGCTATACAGCTATACCACTTG